GTTGTCAAACTCATTAGACTACGTATTTTATTCACCACGTAATCACCTCTTAAGTAGAATAAACATGTAAATACTCTAAAGAAAATACTCTCTCAGAAGAAAAAAGAAAAAAGAAAAAACCAAGTAAATATTAATTTAGTTGAGATAAGGTTACCCTTCTCCGAATAACATGCAAATATGATGACCTTGTCGGCTTATCCTCACCCTCTGGTCTTCTTGTCTGCCTCTTTTGAAAATTAAAATTACACAAAATATTAATAGATTTGAATTATACGAATGAAAATCATATTTATTTATATTTGATGAGATTATAAATGTGATTTACAAATCTTCAATTGTTGTGCTGTTTCCCTTTTAATTATAAGAGAATTTGTAATTCATTGTTACCAATTTAATTTTGTTGGTCAATATTTGTCTTTTTGAATGGGTTTCTTTGCAACGTATATGAAACAATTCGTAACTATAAGAGGTAACTCGTAATTCATTGTTACTATTACAATATTCGTTTTTCTGAATGGTTTCTTTGCAATGTATATGAAAATCATATTTGTATATATTTTTGATATTTGTGATATTTTCCTTTATCTATTAAAGACAACTTGTAATTCATTGTTACCGTTATAATTTTGGTTCGGTAATATTCGTCTCTTTGAATAATGTATGAAAATCATATTTGTATATATTTGATGAGAGTATAAATGTGATTTTTAAATCTTCACTGTTTATTGTATTTTTCTTCTAACTATAAGAGACAACTCGTAATTTAATTGTTACCATTATAATTTTTGTTGGACAACATTCATTTCTTTAAATTAAATGGATTTCTCTACAATGTATATGACAAATTAAATTTACTAGATAAGTATCTACGCATATGCGCGGGATTTTTTTCCATACGTATCTTCGATCTAGTTTATTGTACGTGTATAAAAGATAATCTCTTACATAATTAAAAAAATGGATCCAAATCATACTCATCTTTCTCTTTGCAACTTAAACATTTTAAGTTATGACTGCATATTTGATGTGCATAATGCTCTTTCGAAACTGATACCTTTAAGTCTAACAACCTGCAGTCGAGCTTGTGAAGTAAATCTAACAAAGGAAATCTATTAAAAAATGTTGAAGACATGGGTTGAGCGAATAATAGGTTTTAACATTTTAGCACAGGTTTCTTTGTTTAATTTTCTTAATATTAGACAAAAAAAAAAAAACTTAAAAGAGGAATTTGCTTGATCTTAAAGATTTGGAAAGTGAGGTCAGAGTCTTCACAAATTGTCCTCGTCATCAAACTGTATATTCACAAATTCAATTGTCTTGTAGGTTTTTATGCCACAACTTAAGAAACAGAGCTAATCTTGTAATTAATGGGTTCTACAACTAATGTATGATCAATGAACCAAACATTATGTTCTTACTACCCGGATATGTGTTATAGATTTGTTTGATATTTTAGTATTCAACAAAATGGTATCATGATTTTTTTTTATTTTGTGGATCAAACAAAAATTTATATTTTTAATATAAAATTGATAAATTGATTTCTTTCACTTTAAGTATTTTTTTTTGTTTAAAATTCAAAATTTATTCATGTGAAATATATGTACAAAATAACTACACAATTTAGTTGTTGACGATATGTATTTTTGGTTACTTTATAACTCATTATTTATCAATAAATTTAATATTAATTCATTATTTTTTTTGCATATTTTTATGCATATTTATTTTTCTCTAAAAAAATTTTAGATTCATCGTACTATTTGAAATTTAATAATACCAAAATGATGATTTCTTTAGCTGAAACACAAAACCTTCAAAAAAAATATTTATATATTTATTAATGTTGGTTCTTTTCTCGTCTACTATTGTATGATTTGTATATTCATACAACTAAGGACTAACTTTTTCTTTTCATACCAATTCAACCGTTCACTCGAAAAATATATGAAACATAACATTTTATTAATGTCTTTTTCAACTTTAAGTGCATTGCATTAGATAATATTATTTATCAATTGGTTTAATATGTTCTTGAGATTAGTTATTTTTAATAGGTAACGTTGATATAAATGAATGCAAAAGTAAAATGGCAAAAAATTGAAAACGGTAAAAAAAGATCGACAAACTTCACTCAGTAATGGTTTATTGAATTTTTTTAGATATTAGTTTAATTAAAAAAATATGTAAAAATCAATAGAGAAAATCTCAATTATTTATAAATGTTATGATCGCAATTTTTTTTATTTTTTTTTATCAAAAATATACATATAAACTTCATGTAATTGTGGCACCAAATGCTACTTTTTCTTTTAGTGCATCTGTGTTTCTTTTGAATATATCATCTTAAACTATTGCAAAAATAAAATTTTATAATCTGCCTACTTATAAAAAGATATTGGTTAGAATAAAGTGATAAAAAACATTGTTGATAAGACAATGAACTCCTACAATTACGTCGTTGCGATTACGGGTTGGGTGTCTATGTTCTAGAAAGGGTTTGTTGAACTCTTCAATTCCAAACAAAAACAAATCTTTGGCTACTTTTCAACCATTACCATCATATTCTACTTCCACATRATTAAAAATAATTATTACAARATTGMCATGTTTATTACAATCAACACACTATTTCACTTCTAAGAAAATAATTTTCATTTCTTAAAACAA